TTACCACTCGACGTCATGATCCTCAGATTGTGCGACAGCATCTTCAAGATCGCTTTGTTACTGCTCCACAGACCAGGCGGACACACCAGCGACACATTAGTGCGGACACCGTGCATCGACGATTGACGAGCAGACACCCCCACTGTCACAGGCCACACCGAGGGCAAATTCTGCCTTCAGTGGGCAACACAGCCCCAGCATTGGCGCCACCAGCAGTGGAGAAGAGTCCTCTCTCAGAAGAGAGCCGTTACTGTATCTCAACAGCAGATGGCAGAGAGCAAGTCTGGCGACGCCATGGGAAACGTTATTCGGATGCTTGTGTTGTTGAGGGAGACTCGTGGGGTGGTCCGAGCATCATGGTGTGGCTTGGAATTGGTCTTGCACAGAGGGTCGGCCCTGTGGTCTTCCAGAACATCGGTTCAGGGAGAGGCAATTGTGTCACAGCAGCTCGGTACATTGATCAAGTCTTAAGACCACACGCCATACCTCATTTGGCACGTCACCTCAACCACGAGTTTCAGCATGATGACGCCCGTGCCCACACTGCGAGAGCAACAAGAGACTTCCTCCAGCAGAATGGCATCAGAACCATGCAGTGGCCTGCCCTCAGTCTCGATTTAAATCCAATTGAGCACATGTGGGACGAGATTCAAAGACGGCTGAGTGACGTCCGACCAAGGCCGACAATTCTTGGTGAGAAACACTGTTTCCAAAATACTATGTATTTAGCTGTGTGGCACACAGAGTTACCCTGGCTTTCATTCAGTATTTCTACATACACAGTGCGTACTTGGAGTATGTGTGCAGTTACTGTTATACATTAGCAGATGCACAGGTCTGTAATCACGATCTGCAAACGCTGTTTGTCGATACTTTGTGAATGGATGTTGAATCAAAGTTCCATCTGTTATTTCGTCTTATGTATAGCATTTCCATTAGTCATGTTAGAAAATGCATGAAAGTTGACTCTTTTGTCAGTCGACTGTATGAAGCATCACTGATATAATTTCACATTATTTTACCTTAAGCCATGCCGTACTTCGGTTGTTGTCGTGAAGTGGCATATTTCCAAAATGTAAAAGGCTGTTTGTAAAGAGAAATAAAATTTTATTTTAAATAATAATGCATAGACAATGGAATGCAAGCCTGAGCCACCACAGAATGGCCATAATCGCACAAACGAGTGACAGCAACCCAAAAAATCAAGAACACATTCTTTGAATAAGTTGTCGAGGCACACTACGACTTGTTGAAGATTATTGAAAATGAACTTCCAAATGTCCATCCTAACTTATAGATCCTAATCTCCGTTAAGAAGTACAAGCCTTGATCATCATCGGGTCAGACGGGGCCAATAAGCATATGCCTGACCCAAAGCATGGGTCTCCCAAGGCTTTGCGTGCCAAATGGGAAAAGGTGTCTTACTACCAATTTCACATCCACAAAAGAGAAAATATTAAGAGAGAAAATAAAAATGGGGGACTAAGAATGCCTGATATTAAAACTTTTGTGAAATTTCTAAAACTCTCCTTTTTAAGTAAATGTATTAAACATCAGAAATGTCAGCAATATGATATTCCAGTAAAAGATTTACTAAGATTAGGTTCAAATGCTTTTATCTAAACCCTTATTGGAATGATGTTATTAAAGCTTGGTGTGAATATTTTAGAAAATATGAATTAGACATTTCTCTTATTGAAAACATTATGAATCAACCATTATGGTGAAACCACTACTTAAATTCCCCAAAGTTTTTCATAAAACATTGGTATAATAAGGGTATTTGATCCCTAAAACATATATGTCAGGGAAATAGATTTACTCCATTTGAAATCCTAAAAGAAAGATACAATATTAAAGGGACTTTTTTGCATTATGTTCAACTTATTTCAATTATTCCTCAAACATGGAAAACAGCAATTAAAAAACAATTTGATGTAGATTTATACTTTGATATGTATATTCTTCCATGTTATCAGGACTTATTGATTTGTAAAAAAGGTTCAAGACTTTTTTTTATGATAAACTTACTTTTTCTGACTCACAACCTAAAATATGTAAGAAATGGGAGATTAAATTTGGTGAATGCTTAGAATGGGCTAATTTTTTTGTCTCTTTTAGAAAAGACATTAGAGATGTAAAATTGATTGATTTTCAATTTAGATTCCTGCATAGAATGATATATACAAAGGAAGAACTGTATAAAATTAAACTTGCCGATAATAATTTATGTGAATTTTGCAAGATAGAGAAAGAAAACTTGATGCATGTATTTTATGACTGTGAATATGTGTTCGAATTCTGGCAGAACTTGGAGTCATTTTTTAATTCTGTTGGAAATTGTCATATACTTTTTACAAGATTTAATGTATGTTTTGGTGAAATAAGTGCAAAATCTGCAAATAATCATATTATTATGTAAGCTTAGAGACACATTTTTATCTCTAGTTTAAAGAAAAGGAAACCCTCAATGGACGTTTTTAAACAAGTATTGAAAGATGCTATTTATTTGGAATATCTGTCAGCAAAAACTAATAATAAGCTTTGCACTTATAACAGAAAGTGGAAATTGTATTTTGGTTTACATGATGCCTTGAGTCTTACATAGATTGCTGACTGTGTGTTATTATTGATTATTTCCAATCACTTTGACTCTATTGCCAAAGAAAAACTGCAATGTTTCTCCAATATAATGATTACAATATTATAGTTTGGTATTGTTTATTCTTTTATTATTAGCTTATCTTTCTAGGATTGCTCATAAACATGGTGTTAACAACTTTCTTGCCAGAACATCTTGCTCGATCCTACATGATCAAGGCCTATCCTCCAAATATGCGGTGTCAATTTGTTAATAATGCTATATATGTATAAATCACTGTGTATGTAACCACTGAAACTGGATAAAAAATGATTGGAAAAAAACTAATTCACATCCACACTATAACAGTACACCAAGATCTCCAGACCGAATACAAAGATTCAAACCCGATAACCTGACCTTGATGATCAAGAGGCACGAAGGCACGGAAGAAAGAGAGGAGAGGGCAAATCATGTGCTCCAGTTCATTTTTCATGGTTTCCTCTGGCGTTTTGCTTACTACTTTGCAACCAACCCTGGTTTATCAGGCAGAGTTTATTTGTATATGTCGCCAAAGGCCAAATGTACATCATGCATTCAAAAACATTGTAGAAGTTACATCATACAGCTTTTCTCGAGATGGTCCATTTCTCAAATAATGCTGTATGTACTCATTTCTTAAACTTGCATATTATGGACACATTAATAGTACGTGGGATTCATTTTCATTTGGGTGGTTACAGTATGGACGGGATGTATTTTCATTTGCTGTTTGTTTCTTTTAAATCTAGCTGCTCTAGTGTTAAAAGTATGTAGTTTGCATCTAAATTTCGTGAAGACTCTACGGAGATGAACTACTCTTATTGTGCCAAGGTGGAATAGCATTTTTGCAGTCAATTCAATTCAATTCACTTCTTTTTTGTATGAAAGACCACAGGCCCATATACAACGGAGTTACATAACATATATATAAGATACAAAATGCCATATACATTGGAGTTACATCATATATTTATAAGATACAAAGTCGAGGTAACAATGCACTTCGTAACAAAAATGCATGATGTATATACAAAGCCAGTTGATGTATAAGAAGATTCTTGCATGACAGTAATAAAGACAATCTTATAGCATTAAAATGAGATAAAGACCATTGTGGTAAGTACTTGTTTTTTAGATATTCGTATATAAGGCACAGAAACATAAAATGGTTTTTATCTTCGACAACAATGTCACAGAATGGGCATAACTTTAAAGATTTCTCAACAGATGAAAATCTCCCTGTGTTAATTTTTAGATCATTCAGGCCAAGTCTAAAACGAATAATGATGTTACGAAAATTCCTGTACCGTAAGTGTGATAAATAAGATTCTGTTTCAAGTAATGACTTGAACTGGCGATAAGTATCATATCTTGAACTTTCGTAATTATCTGAATGCCATTTCTGATGAAACATATCAATGGCACGCATGCGAAAGTATTTAATCAAAACATTTGCATCAACAATTGGGACAGCTAAATGAAACCAAAGCCATACGTAAAAAGTAATGTACGTATACAAGAAGCCAATGTTCCGAGACTATCGAGGTGTACAAGCATATTGTTCAGGCATTATTATTTTACACATAAACTTCAAGCAACGAGTGAAAGATACAATGTACAATGGGAATCTCCCGCATTCTCGATAAGCCATATTACTTGGTGTTGACATACCAACCTTCAAAAACTCTTTTACAATGGAAGAGATGAACCTTTTCAATTGTATAGAACACTTTACAACTCCATAACTCAGACCCATACAGTAAAATAGGTTGTATTTGAGAATGAAATAACTTAAAATACATTTGGTTGAATTAATCCCAAGTATAGAGATATCAGAGTGGACTTGTAACAGAGCTTTCTTTGCTCTGTTAGTGAGATTAATGACAGTCTTACTCAGATTCAGTGTATAGGTAAGCAATATGCCAAGGTATTTGTAGTCATTCACAAAATTAATACATTAACCTTCAAATAAACATTTCTCTTTTGCCGCCACTCGACCACCTCTACGAAATATACCAATATTTGTTTTATCAAGATTAACAATGAGTTTCCATTTATCTGAATAATCCGAATGTATGTCAATCTGCTTCTGTAGACCAATAATAGTACTATAAAATAACATTATCTGCAAAAAGTAGTATATAGGGTATATAACGTAGTATGGTGTCATAGAGCGTTGGTTGGTTGGTTTGTTGTTTACCGCCGCACTCAGCAATATTCAAGCTATATGACGGCGGTCTGTAAATAATCGAATTTGGACCAGACAATCAAGTGATTGATATCATGAGCATCGATCCACGCAATTGGGATCGATGACATGCATCAACCAGGTCAGCGAGCCTGACCACCTGATCCCGTTAGTCGCCTCTTACGACAAGCATAGTCGCCTTTTACGGCAAGCATGGGTTGCTGAAGACCTATTCTACCCCGGATCTTCACGGGTCCATAGAGCGTTAGTGTAGAGACGTGCGCTGTGAGGAGCTTGCTTACATAATTGATTCACTCGCGGGACACACTACACCATTCCAGTAGCCGTCGCGAGTTCACAATTTCTAGAAGGCTGACATGTACAGTACTTCTACTTACCCACTGTGGACGGAATATCTATCTGGATTCACTGACTTTTCTACCTGCTTCCAACATTCAAGAAGTTTCGGGTTTCACCTTGGTCAAAATACAAAGTAAGATAAAGATGAATTTGCTTTTATTCTCAGCATATATGCAGAATAAAATTGAGTATCAACGACAGAAACCTTGTCGTATTTTGTTGACATTTTAACCCGTTGACATATATCCAGGTGAACAAGACATTATATCTGTTGATCTAAAACCATAAGAACATATTAACGAACCGAACACATACAATAAAAGCGAAGAATTGTGAAAAATGTGGTCCCACTACTCACTTCTTACCTATCAGTTTTGCAAAGCTGCCTAAATGACACACAGTGTGTTTGTTGAAAATGTCATATATTTTCAACAATTATTCACACACACACAAACAAGTAAGGTTTGCTTATAATATTTTATCTGAATGTTTAAAACGAAAATGAAACCCTTGGTTATATTACGTAAGATGTCAATGCATGGCATGAAACGTGTTAATTTGTATTAGTAAAAAAACACATGGTATGTTCAGCAAAATACCATAATCCCTAACCAACGTGCATATTGTGCACATTGACAATTACGGATGATACATTTACCTCAATAAATGCAATTATATGGCAACCAAATAAGCCATGCAAGACGATATCAGGTAATCTCCGGTAACAGGTATCCAGAACATCTCCTCGGGTATTCCAGCTCTCTTTCCATCTGAAGTATCTGACCAAACACCATTGGGGTTACAGGGAGTGCAGTCCTTGAACCAGAATCCAGACTGATGTATTTGAGCGCAGTTCAGGGGGCTGTCGTCGTTATCGTGGTCGAAGGTGGAGAAGGGCTGTCCCTTCAAATCACCCAAACAATCACCACCATTATAGTCGGGATTCTCCCGATGTCCCCATGTTTTTTTATATGCCAGTCTGTACAGGCCATCTTGAGACAGGTTGAACTTTGTGTATAACCGCTGTCTTGTGACAGTGGTACTGATATCCGTAGTTCGAAAAGTGAGCCTATGACTGCGTCCATTTGTTATGTAAGCAATTTTGTCGTTCCCAAGCCAGAAGTCCTTGTTAAGGTCCCCAAAACCATCTTTGTACTCTTGCCATGACCGATTGAAATGGGTAGATCCATCTTGATGCCATTGCATATATGTTTTACCACCGCTTTTCATCGAGCACCGGACTTTGAATGGGGTAGGCGCTATGTTTGGTTGAATTAAGAATATCCCTGACCACTCGTTATAATGGCCCGTACTAAATCCTTCCGAACAATCTGAAAGAATAAAATGCATATTTTATTAAGTGCGTTTTGTACGACCCAACCGTATAGGATTAAAAAGGAGAAAGAGTTGTTCCCAGATTTGTTTTGTTCAAAGTAATTAGATGCAGATGTAACCGTGAAACATACTTTCAACAGACTTTGATCTAGTTTTTTTAACAGACGTTACAAATGAACTACAAGACAATTACCTCTTAAAATAATTAAATTGTGTTTCACTTTTTCACTTTCCAAGAAAAGGTTTAATCAAAACAAAGCATTTATGACTGCATGTTTATACTTGAACATTTTTGTGTGGATTCCAGAATTGTTGAAACAAGAAAGGACAGTTCAGTTATGATGTAAAGTCATACCCTGCATGATCCTTTCACAGAACTGACCGATGTAGCCACCATAACATTGACAGGTTAGTTTTTCCTGGTCATATTCGCCCCCATTCATGCAGCGGTTCCGTACCTGTAAGTTGTTAAAAAGTGATTTGTCAGTGTGAATAATTAATTCGTCAAGCCAGGGTTCCGGCTGACGCAACATTCCTGCGTCTTTGACGCAGTGTAAGCTGATAATGCGATATCAAAAACTACATCGTCTATCACAAACTGAACCTCTTCTCATGCTTGTTCCCACCAATGACAACATCCCAATTTGTTTGCTTTGTATTGTTATATAATTGTTCTGTATGTGTAAAATGGACTATTCTAAGTCTATCAATATTGCGAGCAAGTTTCGATTAAATTTGCGTGTAACATTACTGGAATGTTCAATTAGTACTCTGCACTGTTGGCGGGATTGCGTACTCCCCTTCCAATGATATTGACAGGCCAGTGATTGAGGCGTCTGGTATTTTTGTCATGGCGCGTTGCTTGGTATGTGAGTAACATAATGATCTAATGCGCTCAGCGGATTGGCAGACGGAGATAATTGCATCTTTATTATAATCACTTGTAAGTGTTCAAATTGCTTTGTGCTGAGCTTGGATTGGTTTGTACGGTCTTCCGCAATGTGATCAGTAACATGCTCTCGTGCAAAAAGCAGATGAGCCCACAGAGTGCGATTGCACAGGCCAGTTGGTGGAGGTTTATTATAGTCACTTGAAAGTGTTGAATTTTGTTTGTGCTGAGCTGTCGGTTTAATTAAACGGTGTACATTGTATGTGAAAAGTCATCATGTTTTGATGCAATGGCCCTGGAATTTCGCTTATTATTACTAAATAAAAATCAAGTTTAGCTCAGTTTAATATTGTTTGCAGAGTCAACAAACTACGATTTGGGGAATATGAATACTAATACCTTTTCGAAGACACTTTTCAGAAGACGAAATTGACTCATTGGCTTATTAAGATTTAATTGATATTTTTTACTTATGTAAATGCAACATGTTGTCATATATACCTTTATGTACATGCCAAACAATTTCACCAGGCACAAAACTTGCTCAGAGTTTGAAACAAATTCCCGATATCTTTAGTGAGATACTCTGGTTATTGTGCTAAGAAGAATCCAGTTCCATGCAATGTGAACAGTATGCAATCAAAACTGTACCGATGTTTGGCAAAGCAATGAAACGTCTCAACGTATTTACAATCAGGCCGTTTATCAACCTAATGACGATATGAATTTGCACCTCGTGGTATTTGAAGAACAAAAACGATATGTTCATACTTCAAAATGAACTGTTATTTGCACAGTATCACTCATTTCGTGTATATATAGAATACTATACGACCTCCCGTGTAGTACGATGTGTAGGAAACGAGTGAACAGGTATCAACTTTTCGCGAGGTTCATTAAAATGAATATTAAATAAAAATTAGATATTAACCTATCGTCCAACCAGAATATTCAAATCACATGTGTTAACAGTTTAGGAATTTATACATGAGATCTTGAAAATGAACATTCAATGCAACACGATGGGAGTTTCCATGTAAAGATTAAGTATTTCTTAGCAACTAAATGTAGAATAAAAATCTTGATAACTGATTTTTAATCTAAGATCTTTCGGGTAGATAACAGTTTGCTAAGAATTGGGAAATGGCACAACGTGACCTGGGTCGGCTTGGGAAACCAGACCTATTTTACATTTTTCAATAAAAGTAACATGGACGTGATTTTCATCAGGATAAAACAAAGATCTACACGATGATACAATTATTAATGACGTGTTATGATCTATTGAAGAACGAATGTGTAGTTCATTTACTTAGCCCAAGTATGCATGGATCAATCCGCTCGCGTTTGGACAGCATAACCAATGATCTATTTACAAGTTCATTTATGAAAAAAAAACCAGGACTAAGTAGACAATTTGTTGAATATTATTTCGTGAATACACCAATTGCGTAACACCATCCCTGAGCACGAACCCAAACGGCCTGTCCTTGACATGAGTTCATTAAAAATGTATTGCCACTATATTGCCCCTTTTATGAGTTCAATTTTTATGACATTTAATAAACCTTGATTAGTCATTCCATGGGTCTGTAACAACTTTAATATAATCCATATGACATAGAGATTACTACACGAGTGCCTGTCATATGCCATTTATCTTACAACGAATTGTAAGATGAATGGTATCTGACAGGCACGAGTGCAGTTATCTGTTTCTTACACACACTAAAATCGCACCTTTTTAGCATCGAATCGATTCATTTTGTCTGTTCTCATGATCGCAGTGGCTCATTAATACATAACACATCGGTCATGAGTGACGTCATCCGACGTACTGCTTACTATTCAAAAATAAGGTGACCCTACACCTTAACCTAAAATCGTTTCGGCCGTCTGTGGATTACAAAGGCGATGATGATTGTGCAAACTATATAAGATCAAAGAACCGATGATGCCGATTTAAAAAAATTCCCCTCGAAGAAATTACCAAATATGTACAACAATGTTTACTACCGTATGACATCACTGCCGGTGACCGACTACAAAAAGGCGTGTTCACTGACAACAGTATGCGGGATTTTCAGAGGAGGATTTTCGTTGATTGAGGGATGGTATATACATAAATGTGTCATGTAAGTAATCAGAAACAATCAGACTATCTGCGTACTGTTATTTGTTTTTATGTTTTCCAATGTAACAAAGAGAATGTGTCAGAAATGCAGATAACTACCGTGTGTGTTGTGCGTGACTTTGCGCCAGTCATGGCGTCACACAGGACGGGAACTTTTTACGATTTCTGTTGAATTTCCCTGACAATTGTTGTGTATATAAATTGTAATTCCATAATTCGTGCTACGATACTCTTCTCACGAATATTCTCAAACGCGACAGACAATGTATGTAACAATAAGACGAATTGATCTTTCAAAATGGGAGAGTGAAAAATCTTGATTTTGCTTTGTTTGCATTTCATCAAGTAGTTTTCTGAGCACAGTGTTCGTTTCCACCCCTATCTTTATTTCGCTTGATGTCATCGCGATAATTTGTATTGGTGACAATGACCATTTGTCACTTGATTCTAAAATTTAGGAAGAATTCAGGGATGCATGTATCGCAGCTGAGTTTGAAATGAACGTGATCTAATAGGCGTTTCATAACCCGCATACGCAAAACGTGATTTTTGTCAATACTATCCAATATGGCGGAAAGTGCACTACGGCGTTCGTGTTTGGGTATTTTCCCAAACATTCTAAACGATTCAAGGTTCCTCGGCGACGTTTCAGAATTATCATTGGTGTTTTGGTGAAAAACAGATTCCGGTGATCACTAATGTGCTATTTTGAAATTCAATCCTTCGACTAAATATCCGATATTTAGATTTCTAAACACACAGTAATTATGCTTTGCGTTGAGTGACTGTCAATTAATTAAACATTTTGAGTTTATGTCATGGAACATTAATGGTGTAAGGGGTAAGTTGGATAATGCTGAATTAATTGATTTTTGTTCACAGTTTGACATTTTTTGTCTTCTTGAAGTTTGGAGAAACTGTGAGAAAGACACGATTGCAACAGTGTTCCCCGGCTATTGTGTTTATGTCAATTTCATAGATAACAATCCGTGAGGCGGTGTGGTTGTATGTGTTCGGTCTGAACTTGAGCGTATGTTTGTCTAGATTTCACCGATATTATATTGGTAGTTTTTGAGAAAAATTTGTTCAGTTCATTGTATGATTACATCTTTGTATTTACATATATACATCCTACTGGCTCCTCCGTGGTAACAGATGTTAGACCACTGCAATGCATAGAGTATCTGGAGCAAAGCTTTTTAGTTATTACTAATCGTTTTCCAAATGGTAAGTTTATAGCATTTGGGATCTTAACGCCAGGTGTGGAAATCAGTCCGATTTTGTTGTGCATGATGGGAATCGGTATAAACCGAGCTTTGAGAACATGGACTATGTGTCTGATTCCTTTGACACTCCCAGACAAAGCCGTGGTGATATATGTAAAGAATATGGAAAGGAACTCCTTGATTTGTGTTCAACTCATAACATTCACATGGGAGATGTTCGGGTGATACAGAGGGAAGCTTGTTTTAAAGGAGACGGAGCAAGTTTGGTTGATAACTGTTAATGTTCAAGTGACTTATTTACCAGAGATATCGACTTTACTGTACGTACACGGCGATGGTGAAATGTTGCAGCACTTCAATCATACCATACCTAGCTATAGTTTTTAATAGGATTATGCATAGTGGTGTATTCCCTTACGAGTGGGCAAAGGGTATAGAAGCAATGGTGAAATGTTGCAGCACTTCAATCATACCATACCTAGCTGTAGTTTTTAATAGGATTATGCATAGTGGTGTATTCCCTTACGAGTGGGCAAAGGGTATAGAAGTTCCTCTGCATAAGAAAGATAATATAAATTATGACAATAATTATGGAGGAATAACGCTGATGGATGTATTTGGAAAGTTGATGACAACAGTATTAAATGATAGACTCAAGGCTTTAGTGGACGTTTATGACAAAAGCTCAGGCAGGATTTCGAAGCGGATACAGTACAGCTGATAATATATTTACATTACAGTGTTTAGCACAAAAATATCTCTCTAAACGTCGGGGAAGATTTGTTTGTTTGTTTGTTGATTTCCGTAAAGCGTTCGATTCGATTAACCGAAAGCTCTTGAGGTATTCAACAGTGAAAAATGGAATACACGGTCGTTTATTGTTTGTTTTGAAGGATCTATACTCTAAGATTCAGTGTGCTGTCAGGACATCAAATAACTCTCTTTCAGATTATTTCGAATCACTGAGCGGCGTTCGACAGGGCTGCTTATTGAGCCCGTTTCTGTTCACCATGTTTGTCCTTGAATTTCAATCTATGTTAGAAAGAAGTCATTTGCGAAGATTTTTAATGGAGAGGAGTTTATAGACATGTTACTTTTACGATATGCAGATGATTTGTGTATATTCGATGACACAGTAATAGGTCTGCAAAGAAAAATTGATATTTTATCCAATTTTTGTAAAATCTGGGGACATGGAATTAACATGTC